ATTTCTTTCAGAGGAGTGTAGTCAGGGAGAGGCCCTCAGGTGTCATAATACTAGTGTGTCAATCTTTGTCTAAGTGCAAAACAGATCTTTCTTACCTTGTGCAAGTAACCAGTAATTCTCAATGTGGGCAAGCAGGGACAAATTTTTAGACACATTTGATTTTAATTTTTTTTAATTTTGGTGGTATAGGCCTCTTTAAAATGAGTACAGCTCTTAAAGAAATTAATATCATATTATAGGATACTCCTTTTTGTCATTTTACCATGGTAAATAACTATCTTAGAAGTTCGTTTGTAGATGCCAATAAGGAAGACACATTGCTTAAAACACCAGGCCCGAAGAGAGCACAGTGTGTATATGCTGCATTGCATCTGGTACCCAAGGTAACCCGGCTGTTCAGGCAGAACTTTAGTTATTTGTGACTGTGCTGCCACAAGGCAGGTGTTAGCAGTGTTTATGGCTAAGTGACAGCTGCCCCTTAGGTTATAATTAAAGTTCTGCCATTTTAAACATAAAGTGCTCTTGCCTTTTCAAATTTATAACTGTGGTATCATAATAAGATTAAATAGAGTTAAGAACCTACATATAGCAGCCTTCTATTCAAGTAAATCTCATAAGTTAATTAAAATCACACTATTCTCCTTGTATAAAACATATATGTGTTTGTCTTGGAGTCTGGGGTTACTGCAGAAATTCTGTGTTTGTCTCATGAAGCTGATTATTGTACAGGTTACCAAAAGCTGATGCACAGCAGGGACAGAGTGATGCAAACAAAGGAGCGAATTCTGGGCAAAGACCTTGCAATCCCCTAACACTGCTTGTCTTCTCAAATGGTCCTAGTGCTCGTCCCAGGGGGTCCTGGTCAGTACCTGAAATTAACAATCATCATCCAAAAATTTCAGTATGGATCAAATCACCTAACTCTTCCAAATTCCACACTTGCATATTAATGATCTCACATCTGAAATCCACTCTGATTTATCACTTTTTTTTGTAGTCAGATGCTGGGTTTGAAAGCACAAAATTAAATGTATGAAGGAAAAAAATTTTATTTCTGATTGTATGATCTGCAAAGTGAAGAAGAAGGGTGAAACAGTCTGCAATCACTATTACAAATCCTGTTGATTTTTAGGTTGATCATCACAGTTCTATAAAACAAAAACAAACTGTGGAAAACTTAGGGAAGTGACTCTCTGGCATTGCAAGTATTTTTCTAGTAAATAGTATTACATTTTAAATTAGATCTCTCTTTGTCTTATCCTGAATTCTGCAACTTGTATGGTTTAATTTGTATGGCGATTCATACTGCATCACAATATATGTAGTTACTGTAGTAGCAGAGTACTTAGAAAAGAGCATAGACAAGAGTGCTGAATTGTGGTGCAGATTTTTTGCTCAAGACAGTACTCAAAATGAAAAAATCCTTTCCTGGGATAAAGCATCCAGGAGCTGAGTTACTTTTATGGCGTTCTTGTAGTTTGTTTCTTTGCTTGTTGGAGGGAAAGCAAGCATGGCTGGAATTCTTTCATTATTATCTTATGTTCATGCCACACGTTACTATTCTCATTAGGAGAACCGCTGGTTTATTTTGCGGATGTCTTGTTTATCATATCCCTCTAGTGAAGCCTGCCAATGCAGGGATGAAAGCAATCCCTAGCAAATACATAATGCAGGAACTAAACACAACCATACTGAAATATCGTGTGGTATTATATATTACATGAGAGCTTGCTCTACATATTGACGTGATAGCAAGGAATTATTCCACTTGATTTCCACTTGTGTTTCTTGTCAAAATTGTAATGACAAGTACAAGCATCCAATACGAAAATACTGAAGAATTTTGGAATCATAGATAATTTACCAGTGAACACCTTTCAATCAATAACATATGTGTTATTTAATATTCTGAGACTAAATTTATCAGTGCATTAAATAGGTCGCAACTTTAATCATAAGTCATAGCAAAATACACATTTGTTGTTTTAAAGTAGTCCAGTGGAATTAGTGAAAGCAGCCTAGATCCCCTCATAAGCTATCTGAAGCTAAGCCAAAAATAGTGGATGTTAATTCCATTTCTATCCTAATCCTTTCCCTGCTTGTCTAACAATTTTCTATATATTCATAGTAAGGTCTCTGCCTCAAAGTTCATGCTTTCTTGTTTGTGTATTCTGATGCAGATTTCCTTTGAATTTCCAAATGAGAATCTCTCAGTTCGACTCAGAATCTACAATAGGTATTTCTGAATAAAATTGCTTCCTATAAATTAGGTAATTATTTTTTAGAAATCAAAGTTAAGCAAAGTAGTCTTCTCTGCCCAGCATGTGCAAAAAAGTTGTTTCAGGTCCCTAAGTAGGCAGAAAGTCAGCTGTGTTTATGCCCATGTTTTGTGGGGGTAATCCATCCCTGATTAGCTGATTCAAAAAATGCGATGGCATTGCATGACTGTGAAATTATAGTAGAGAGATTCCATATTTTGGTTGGGTTTGGAGTTTTTTTTGGTTCTTTTTTAAAAAAGTTTGTCACCCCATTCTCAGTACCTGCCCCCAGCCCCTCCCTGGTACAAGTGCTGGTAAAACCACCCAGACACATCTGCTCCCTGCCCCTTCTCAGAAGTCATCAGCTGGATGCAGTCTGTGTGAGCTCACCTAGGGAGGGACATGTCTCTGGTGTGTGGTCTGAAGTTAGGCAGGAGATCTTTAGATTTGATATCAGGAAGAATTACTTTACTGAGAGAGTGGTCAGGCACTGGAACAGCCTGCCCAGGGAGGTGGTGGAGTCACCATCCCTGGAGGTATTTAGGAAACGTGTAGACGTGGCACTTCAGGGCATGCTCTAGTGCCCAAGATTGTTGTTTTGTGTCTGTTTGTGGTTTGGTGGGGTTTTTTGGTTTGGTTTTTTTTGGTGGTTGGACTCGATGATCTCAAAGGTCCCTTCTAACCATGAAGATCCTGTGATTCTGTGTGTCTCTTCTGTAGGGATGTACATATGAGAATTGTTGTGTACCCCGGGAATCAGGGAGTAGAGTGATAGGATGAGGGGTAATGGTTTTAAACTGAAAGAGGGGAGATTTAGATTAGATACCAGAAAGAAATTCTTTACAGTGAGGGTGGTGAGGCACTGGAACAGGTTGCCCAGAGAAGTTGTGGATGCCCCATTCCTGGAGGTGTTCAAGGCCAGGCTGGATTGGGCTTTGAGCAATGTGGTCTAGTGGAGGTGTTCCTGCCCAGGGCAGGGGGGTTGGAACTCAATGATCTCTTAAGGTCCCTTCCAACTCTAACCATTCTATGATTCCATGTTTGAAGCTTCCTTTCACCTAAAACTCAGTATTTGTGACTGAAGATTTCCATTAGTAAATGTTGTTTCACCTCAGTGTGTGTGAGAGCCTTGGCAGGTGTTACCTTTTAAAGAGATTAAATGTAAAGTCTTCACCTTGCAGACAGCTATGCTCTGGTGTTTAATCCTATTGACTCCTTTGAACTTTGTGTGGCAGACTATACCCATATGTGTAAGTGGCTGCAGGATAGAAACACGCTGGAGGAGACGAGTGAAATGTTTTAAAACTGTCACTTTCCCAGTTCTTGCTGCTAAATGCTGAGTGAGATATTGTGCGCAGAAATATATTGATGTCTTGCCTGGCAAGAAGTGGTTGCTCTTGAGTGCGGCTGTGCTCAGCAGTGCCCCTAACTCAGGAATCTGAAATTCTGTTCCTGGAAGAAAAAATGCTTTTGTGTTGTCCTTAGATGCCACCAGCCCGCAGAGTCCCACAGGCCAGAGCGGCTGCGTGGCGCGCAGGGCAGGCTTGGTGCGGCTGGAGTCCGTAATGAATTTAATTTCCCACTGAACACGCACGTGTGAAGGAGGGGAAACTGCCTTTTCTCTGCCCACAGTCCAAATTGGAGTGAATCCTGATGCTGGATATTGCTGCCAATGGCAACTCCCTACTACGCAGCCCACAGTGAAAAGCTGCTCAAAGAAGTGATTGCAAATACTGGGTTGTTTTTTTTTAATGTTTTCTTGCTCAATTTAATTTCATTATGGAAAACAGCCAACACAAGGGGATTTCAGGTGATGGGAAAATTGCAACCTGAACTATTAGCTTGCCAAAGTTAACAATGAAAATGGATTTAGAAGCGTAAGCACTGATAGCCCTCTGGATCAGCAGCAGAGCTCTTGGTTTGTGGCAAAAGGTGTGCTTTTTATCAGTTATGTTGACAGATGACTCAGAGCCTGTAAATATCATAATAAAAGGATCACATATTAAAAAGCCTCTCGCTGAGAGGTTTGGATGTGAGGCTTTGCAGCCACTGGTCTTTTGGTGTTCTAAGTGAACTTTCCAACAGGAAAAGCACATTTACCGAGTGCTTTTGTCAACCACGTGTACATACCTTTCTTATTCCACACATTAATTTGGAAGGGAAATTTGGTAGGGGGAAAAGAGAGAACTTGTTCAGTTCTTGAGGCTTTGTTAATGTTTGAAAGCTCCAGCAGTGACTGGATGACTTCTGAAATGACAATGCCAAGACACTAAAAACTGAACAGCTTTTTGTTTTGTGAAAACAGTTAACTTTATTGGCTTAATGGCTACCATGACATAAAGCTATCTTCTTTGAAAATGCTTCTCTCTTTGCTTAAGTTATATGACATCTCTGGATGTCCTGAAAATGGCTCCAGTAAATTTAGGGGAGGTGATACTTGGCAATGTTGAGATTGTGATTCTTAAAACAAATTATTTTTTTTTTCCCTTTGTGTTTTATGAAATGGAAAAGACCCCAGAATTTCAATAAATCCTGAATCTAATTCAGGGAAAAACCCTTTGGGGAAAATGAAAATGGAAACTGGCCAGTCTGAGTACAAAGAGACTACAGTATAGTGGGTTTTTTTAAAAGTATTTGTGAACTGTGAAAAGCAAGAAGCCCAGGCAGAAGGTCAATAGTGATTATAGTTTCCAGTGCATATATTTCCTTCTTAAATTTCTTCTTCTCTACCGTTTCTTGCAGATATCTCTTTTTTGCCATGTCAGCTGACAGCCACCAGCTCCACACTCATTCCTACCAGGATGCACTGAGTTCTACTTGTCACGGTCTCTTGAGTGTCAACAGTCACCCCCTGTCGAAGAGCTCCTCAAGTTTGGCCTGTACTGGGCAAACAGGTTTAGAGGAAAGGCAAAGCAACAAACAGGAGCTGAAGAAAAGCCACAGTAGCACCATCTGCTATAGCCCGGGAAATGAGAGTGATGCCAGGAGTGCACCGAGTGCTGGATGGTCCTTCTCGCAGTCTGGGATGGTGGGACTTGGACCAGTGGTCCAAACCATAAGCAATCAGTCACCCGATGGCAATTCACAGAGCAGAACCAAGACTACAAACCATTTTCTTACCACAGAAGAGTCCCCAGCATCCTGGGAACTGGGGGGTGCTAGGATGTGTGTAAAGAGCAGCACTGTTGAGAATGTTTCTTCAGCCTGCATTGTACACCAGCAAAACATGTGTGAAATGGAAGAACCAGGAATTGCCCTTCAGAGAAGCCACTCAGACCTAACTTGCAGTTGCAGACAGCAGACTTATGTCACTCACATAGAAACCAGTTCTACGCACTCCAGCCTGAGCTCTTCCAGCTGCTGGCATGGTCCACCAGTGACTAGGATGTCTTTCCAAACACAGAGATATGGATCAGAAACAAATGAAAATACATCTCACTACCAAGACCTTGTGACTCATCTTCCAGTTCTACCTAGAGACCAAAAAGTACCCACAAATAGCTTCGACAGCGGTGGTATTCCACGCAACACTACTGTTTACACAGACCCTGGAACCTTTCACACTGCTGTCCTAGGACCTCACATGCCTGGAAATGGTTTCTCAAACAGGACAATGTTCAATCAATCCACTGGGATTATTCATGGTGGTCTGATTTACGGAAATATTCCGAACTCTGCATACTCACCCATGGTGATGACAGTTCATAACAATTCTGCAGGGCCCTGTAATATAAGGCAGGACCCTTGTATGAAAGTAGATGCCACCATCCCTGCCTACTGCCATTCTTTGCCCATTCCATCTATACAACTCGTTCCACGGTTGGTATGCTCGGTCAGCGAGACAGGGAAAGAACAGGCAGCACCTGGCTATTTTCATTCCTCTTCTGCTTCAGACATTCTGACATACCCTAAGCTGGTGTCTTCAGTGAGTGAATCGGGCCTGGATGCCAAGAGAGTCCTGAAGTGCTGCGGCGTTCCTGGAGAACAACTGCAACATGCTCAACACTGTGCTCAGCAGGAGAGAGCTCCTCCAGAAACGAAGGCTGCCTGTGTTGCCTTTAGTAGCCAGCAAGGTGCAGACATGGTAACGGCAACTAAGGATATGTGGACTATGACCTCTATGAATGATTTAACCAAAGGGCTGAAACCAGCTCTTGAGCGTAGAGATGCCGAGGTACAAACTCTTCCAATCATGGAATGCAAATCTGTGGCAACAAGCCCAGCAGCTGCAGCAGAAGGTCACTCGCATGTGTTCCCAGAGGTGAACCTGGAGCAAGACTTGGAAGCCCCCAAATCTCCAGTACGGGAAGTGAGGTGGGATGATGAAGGAATGACATGGGAAGTATATGGGGCATCTGTGGATCCAGAAGTCCTTGGATTAGCCATTCAAAAACATCTCGAGATTCAAATAGAACAATTCCAGACAGAGCCTACTGAGCTGGCTGGGAAAAGCCATGAGGAGCCCTCTTCTGATAAAATGGGGAAAAAAAGGCCGTTCAGAACAATGATGCATTCCCTGAGATATCCGAGCTGTTGTGCTCGTTCCAGTACTGCAGTGGAGTGAGCACAGCTGTAGGACAGCTGTAGGACAGCTGTGCTGCTTTTAAAGTGTAAATAAACGCCGACTTGTATGTGTTAACACAATACATGTGGATAATCCACTTCTGGATATGTGGGAAAAAGTCAGTGACCATCAAATACACATCAAATCAAGGAAAAACCCGTGCTTGGGCCATATAACAGAGAACGTAAGGTTGTACCTACATCATGCCATCTGAATGCTCCTGACTGTATATAATGTAGCACTGTTTTATTCTTTTATGTTAGTTTTAAATCATATTGTAAGGAATGAGACTTCTTTTCTAAATGATGCATCTTTTTAAAATAATGGAGATTTTTTTCTGTATTTTAATAATTTAGGGTTAGAAAACAAAGTTAGAAAATGATGCTTTAATCAGAGTCCTTAGCTTTCAATCCTACTCCCTTAAATTGTTTTGGGAACTACTTTGCTGTTAATTTATAATAATGCTGACTATAAACCCACCTTAGCAGTAGACAAACTGGCAAGCTAGTGTAATGCTCTATGACAAAGAGTTGTAACTTTTGCTACATAACTCTGTGAAGTAATTTTGATATTGCTAGTCTGAACTCTTCCCTTTGCAAGATGATGTACAGTTGGAGGATGCTCCTGCAACTTTGGAATTAGTTTGTAGTTACAGTGAATTACACTCTAAATATCCAGAACTGATGTTTACCAAGTGATTGACACCAATGTACAGTATTACCAAAGATGACTCGTGTAATGTGAATTACTTCTTGAACGCCTGTTTGTTAGAGCCATGAAACACAAGCTGTTCAGATCAGTCTGTCGCACTGTCATACCCTACAAATCAGGAGCGGTTTTGTTTTGCTTATATTAAAAGTGATTTCCAGTGAGTTCTTTCTATGTGCATCTATCCTGAACAGTGGTCATTTTGTTGTTGCACAAACCACGGGTGACAGTTTGCACGTAACCTTTGCTCGTCTTGTGTTCCCTGTCTGGTCTGATGTCAAGTGTCTGCTGAAAGCAGGACTTTGTGTCTTCCCCAAGCGCGGCGCTGCGGTTATCTCTGCTGAGCGCCGGCCCTATGGGCAGCTGAGAGGTTTCTTTTCACTCAAAAACAACTTCGCAAACAATTTGCAAGTGAGAAACCTTTTATGACACTGTAATGCAGGCATAGTGCAGGGCCTGTTTGAAGTGCAAGGTTTGTCAAGGAAGCCGAGACAATTGTTTCCAGTGTTGTATGTGGCCTTTGGTCAATGTCTAAGATTCTTCAGGAAACTAGGAATGTGCAGTATTTTTTGATGAAGGGAGAGGAAGAACGTTCAGTTCTTTCTCAAAGGAAAACTTGTAGTGTCGGAGAAGTTACTGCTGTGAAATTATCCGTTCTTTAATTGTGTGTGGTTGTGCTTTTGTTGATTTGGTTCGGTTTTTGTCCCAGCTTCCTAAACCAGTAAGTCGGCAGGATGCCTACATAGTACATACCTGACATCTGTATGTGCTTAGGACAGTTTTAAAAATTCAGCTAGAAAATCCTTAAATATAGGACCTGCTGGACAGAATGTACTGTGATGCATTAATTTAATAACATACAGTAGTTCAAGATCAAATTTTCATCCCTGGACAAAGTGGAATTAGAGAGCTGCATCCTGTGAAACTCACTTTGAGTTCAGGAGGCTTCATTCAGGCCCTGGGACTTCGGCCTCAATAAAGTCTGAACTCAAAAGGACTTTTACACAAACCAAGTCTGAAACCACTGGAATATGACGCCTTACTCAGGATGCCTCCATAGCTGTGAGCATTCAAGTTTTGATAATGACCTTAGATGTGAAAAGTTCCTTTTGTTAAAGCTTTACTAGAAGTAAAGTAATGAATGACTAAAAAAAAGTCAGTTCCGCTGTTAGTTAGCGTTTAGCTAGACAGTTTCTATACAGGCTTATTTTATGGGCCAGAGCATCATAAGCAGTACCAAACGTTGATTTCTTCCTTTCTTCAGATATTATGCTTAGAGAATTTTAACCACTATAATGGCCTGAAACTTCATGTTGTCTGCTAGCTTGTCCTCAGGTGTGCAGGAGAAAGACTTGAACAGTTAAACTAAAGCTCTAAAATAGCAACTTGCTCCTGTGACCATCACAATCCATACTTTTAGGCTACTTGACATGCGGAAGAACCTTCATTCTCCTTCCCATCCCAAGCACTCCTCCAAAATAAAGCTCCCAACTCTTGGAAGATGATAAAATAGTACAGATATCAAACTGGTCAGAAAGAGACAGTTTGCAGAAGGGACTGGAACAATATAGCCAAGTGCCTTGAGTGCTTTGGCTGTTGTATACTATAAAAGCTGGGAAAACTCTTAGATTTCATACAGCTCTAGTTTGAATTACCTACCTTGTTTCTGCATGGTATGGATTTGCTATTACAGTACCTGATTATCATTCCTGGAAGGGAAAAACAAATGACAAACAAGGGGAAAGGACACCAGTGATTTGCTCATCAAGAAAAATAGCTGCTCACTTATTACAGGCTTTGTGAGTCTTTAGGATACTAATTGGAGTTGCTGTTGGGAACAAAATTAGTGTTTGTGTTTGAGGATTTCCTATGTTTTGGACAGGATTAAAATGCAGGGCATATTAATAGAGATTTGGGAGGGGCACCCCAAGCAAAATACTTATCTGAATATTAACTACATGGATGAAGTAATTTCTGGATTGTTTCATTTCTAAGATGGATACCTCTTAAAAAATATAATTTGGATTCACTTTGCATTTGGGTTCTATTTTACTTTTTTTAAATTTAAATGCAGTCAGGTTGTATACTAAGTATTCTTCGTATTAGAGCTCTGTTCAAGCGTTATTCTTCTAACTGTGAGAACTCTAGCTCCATTTTTAAATGTTTTCTAACTTAGCAAAACGCAAATCCATTATATTCTACTTTTAAATATCATTCATGTAGAAGCAGAATGTACATGAGATTTGTCACTGAGCGGGTCAATGCACGGATGCTTGTCAAGCTAGGGTGAAATCAGGGTGTGTTATTTTCTTGAGCCCATTTGAAAGCCAGCTTGCATCACATCCTTTGCATGGCATCAGGCTGCCTCTGCCCCCAGCCGGGATGCCCAGGTACCATTCACAGCCTGTGAAGTTGGGGTTGCCTCTCAAACAAGTCCTCAGTGAGGGCTGGACTGGGACACTGGGAGCTTAACCCATTTGCCTCAGTGCTCCTTCTTTCCCTTGAAATATGGGAACAGCCACCTGGTAATGCAGTATTTTGGATACATTATGTCATCCCTACATGCTGACTAATGTCTCTAGAAGGACCGAATTGTTTATATTATTAGATGGCTGTAGGATTGACAATGGGCTGAGATGCTGAGGTCAGTGGTTCAGCACAGATTGAAGGGAATTGATCCTGATATCAGTATGCTGATGAAACAGCTCTGCAAAAGAGCTACACTAATTAATTTCACTCTGAATTATTATCCTGCTCTAGTAACAAAGGAGATGTGTGAACATACTTACTGTTACCATTCCTGGAGGAGAGGCTAAAACCTGTCAGACATTTGACACTGACTGACCATATCTCAAATTACAGCTGTGCAAATCTTTGACTGTGGGGTTAGAGGATATTCTCTCCGTGTTTTAAATAAAAACTTCCATAGTTAAGTCAATTCTTTAAAAAAAAAAAAACAAAACACTGAAAAACCTAAGAAGTTGATTAGTCAATGTAACATCGGTTAGTTTTAAAATCATTGCATTTATTTGTTGATCTTCTCCTGAAAGTGTCAATTGCCTTTCTCGAGTTGTATTAGTGACAGGTTGCTTAATGGCTGGGGCTCAGGCGGGAGGGCCACCTAACCAAATTCACTCTGTGCCCCCATAACAAACTTCCCAGCGACTCCTGCTGCCCCAGGGGCTGGGGGCGTGCAGCTGGGGGGCTCCCCGACGTTGGCAGCCCTGTGATGAGGGTGCTGTGGGTGGCTCTCTCACCCCCAGTTCAGTCGGTGGTGTTTGCAGACCACTTGCCTTTGGCCTCACGCTGCTGGAAGAGGCCCAGTAGTTGCTGCAGGCTGGATCCCGAGCTGGTTCTGCTACGCGTGGCCACAGGTCTCACCCTTCATATGCAGGTTTTGCTTTAGGAGCCCCTGCTTATCATCCTTCCAGATGTAGCTTAAGAAATTGTGTGTTGCATAGCTGGGGCGACGCTGCTCTGTGCCCACAGTCCCCTGAGGTGGGAGTGAGTGGGGAGAAAAATGCAGTCAGCTCTTCTGTGCCCAACTGTGGCCAGGGTGTTTTAAGGAAAACAAACAAACAAAAAAGCATCTCCACTGTGTGGACAGGGGAATGTATTTCTTCCTGATCACTTCTCTGCTTACAGCCAGTAAGAAATAATGGCAAGCTGGACTAATTGCATTATTGGATAGACCTTTAGTCTTTTAAATCCAAAGCAGTAATGACCTGTCTGAAGACGTGCTGAGGTAAGAGGCCTTCTGGATGTTACTTCTCGTTAAAGAATATGAAAACCCAGGTAGTTTCTCTGAGGAAAAGCGATGTGCAGGGAGATTGGGATAAAACAGAATGTTGGAGCAGAGATGAGACCCGGGAATGCTGGCTCCACGCAGGGAGCGGGGCCAGGTGCCCTCCAGCCACTGCTAGCCCTCTCACTCAGGAGCTTTTCCAACTGTGAAATTGCAATGTTAATACTTCGTTACCATCTGTTCCTTTCAGACATGTTGAGGTGATTAATTTGTCTTCTTAAGCCCCTTGAAAATGAAAGCCATCTATTAGTGCTAAGTAATACTGTTAATTGGCAACAGAGAAGGGGGCAGCATGTGGGTTGAGGAGCTAGAAATAAATAATTCTAATCAACTCCTGCCGTACCAGTTAAATAACTTGCTGGGACCTGCTGCGTCAGTCACTTGTGTCTTTCCCTTTCAGGGGACTTCAGGACTCTAAGAGTGAAGTGAGTTTTGAAGTTTTCTTTCTTTTCCCTCTGCTTGCAACCATGGATCTGAAATGAAGGACACAAGGTGCCTATTGTGCTTCTTTCCAAACCTTAGTTATTTAGACAGGTCACAAGATCCAGCCGACCCTCTGCAAATAAGGAGACCCTAATGCCCATGAGCCTGGGCTGCGAGGGCTGTGTCTCTGCTGAGGGACAGTGTCTGCTGAGCCTGGTGCCTTCTGTGGACCTCACAGTCTGGGGCATCCCCCCTCCTGCAGCAGGGAGCTCCACAGAGCCTCCTGCTTTATGGAGGGGAAGAGCCGGGTAAGCTGTGTGTGTGACGTGGGGGTTAGTGGGAATTGTGTTCCTTTTCTCACTCAAAAGGAAACTGGCGGCCAAAGAGTCTGCCAAGTGTAAAAATGGGTGTGCTCTTTTTTTCCTCCTCTGCAAGCTGGAACGAGTGTATCCCTTTTCTGTGGGGCAGCACCCCCAGCATCTGGAAAAAACAGCGCTGCTTTCTTCTTGCTGGAGCTCCTTCCAGGGCTCAATCACACACTTGCTTGTGGCTTTTACTGCCGGCCTGTGTCAGTGAAGGGAATGGTACGTATCCTTTGCCACGGTCACTTGGATGTCCAGCTTCCATCTTTCCCAAGCTGTAGGGTGCTGGGTCTTGAGCTGACGGCCATCACATGTACAAGGGCCGATGTTTTCAGATAGCAGAGTGCTAAGCTGTAGCTTGTAAGTCTTTAGAAGCATTAATCCTATCTAATATGTGACCTAAACAGATGTCATCTATCTTATTATCAGCCTTTCCATATACTACGGGCTGCGCCACTCAGACGACATGTGAAGGAAGCTTAGAAAACAATGGGGGGAAGCACAAGCGAGGAAATGACACCGCAGACCTCCACCCCACCAGCTCCAGCCACCTCCTGCTCGTCCACGGGCAGAAAAGAAACTCCAGCATCCGTGGTGTGTGTGGCTCAGCGGAGTAACGGAGGAGAGATTTTGTCCCCTGTGGTGTTAAAGGTAGTGTAACACACAGAATCTGGGTCAAGCGCTTCCATGAACTGCTGTGGGCCAGGATTACATCTCTGAGCTCCACCTGGTGCTCAGCGGCTGTGCTCAGCCTGGCAGGACAGACCTGCTCCCCTGCTCCCCTCCTGCGATTTGTACTGTGGAGGGGCAGCTCTTGGCAGTGTGGGGAGCACAGGGAGCCATCCGGGCTTGGGTGCCACCATCCCGCCTGCACCGTGCTGCCCCTTCCCCTGCCACAGACACACCACCATCGGTAACGGCACACACATAAAAAGCCAGTCCTCTCATCTCCTCTGATTGCTTTCTGCAATGGTCGTAGGCAATTCGTGTGCCCTGCCTCTGGCTGTAGCACAAACTGCTTCACTCAGACTGGGGCTGAGCAGAAATTCCCCCATGAAGGTGAATTAAATGCTGTCTTGTGTTCTGGAAAACACAACATTGTCTGGAAAACCCTACAAATGCCATTGCCCTAGAGAATCCAATTTTAGGAACGCCTGTATCTAAATTAGAATTTGTGGTGTGACAGGCTATCTTGTAATTTCTTCCCTGTTTTCATAGTGATCTGGCTCTGCTAATCTTTAGGCTCTTTTGAGTATCAACCTCACTCTAACAGTAGAATTAGGGGTTAATGTAGTGCCATGCTGCAGTAGCTGATCTCTTAAAAAGGATCTTGGAAAAAGATGAGACAAGCGTTTCTGAGAAAGCAAAGAGAAAGAGACCTGTTTTGATCGTGTGATGCCTGTTGTTCATCAACCCACTTCTCCACTCAAATGAGAGCAAACCCTCGAGCCATAACACAGCACAGTGAAATAAACTACTTCTCTGAAGATCCCCTGCGTGGCAGCAGAGCCTGGGACTGAAGCACAACCCACTGCTCGGCTCCTGGGGCGAGCTGGTGGCTGCGAGGTCACTCTGGGGGAAGGCTGGGGACAGATCTGGCAGGCAGCTGTGGGACCCAGTGCCAGGTCATGGCCTGCCTGGAAGGGGACCAAGGACAGACGTCAGAGGGGACACGCAGGAGGAGGGCCGTGCCCCTGGGTTGGCAAGGACAAAGAGAAAATAGCCTCATCCCAGCAGCAGGGCTTGAAGCAACTGGCGATTCCCCTGGGAGCTGCATGAATTTCCCTGACGCCTACAGTGACGACTTTTCTATAATTTCATGCTCCGCTTTGGGACCGTTGCTGTCTGTGAGAGGAGCTGCTGTCAGCCCTGGCATCTGGCTTCCCCTCCAGCTGTGCGTGCTGTGCTGCCATCAGTGTGCTCCACCTCTTCACCTCCCTCTTCAGAGGCGGCGATGTGCTGCTGAACCCTGTGGCAGAGCTGCAGAACAGGGAAATCACATTATGGGGTGTTAAATGTAGAAGTTAATGCAACTGATTCTCTTCAACTAAATTATTGCAGTTACTGAAAGAGGAATGGTCTAAACAGGAACCAGGGGCGTTCTTTAAGAACATGTGCGTAAACCCCATAAAATTTGCTATAAAATCATTGCAGCAGAGAATGTTCCTCAAGCTCTTTGTGTTTTGGGTGGCACAGAGTAGCACAGTTTGGCAGGCCAGCACCTCCGAACTGCAAGAAAAGCTTCTGCTTCTGTATGGAGGCTCCTGTTTCAAGGGGGTGTGGGGGAATGGATCCCACCTTTATTCTCAGACTGCAGGAGCAGGAAGCAAGGAAGTTTTGGAGTGTACAAAGAAGGTCATTAAGCACTTTGGCCAAATCAAGGCAAAGCCAAGTGGTGGCTTTTCAGGAAGGATGGGCTTTATGGTGCAGGACTACACACCTGATCCCCATTCAGCAAAAAGTGGTACTGAACTTTGGCTACAGGAGCACAGTATGTGGTGACAAACACTTCCCGAGGGAAAGTTTGTGTTAATCCTCATTAACTGTTTTTGATATGTATAGATCCCTTTTATGTATCCAAAATGCTTCTCTTCCTACTTTGGTTGGAGGCCTACTGTCAACACTTATCCACAGTTTTATCCGCCACTGAGGAACACCGCAATACATAAACCTCCATCTTTGGTACTGTTTGAACATGGGCAGATCATATTCTTTATTTTTTTCATAAAATTGCATCTCTACCCAACCTTTTGCCCCTGGGATCAGGTGGCCGACTTCTACTTATGTCAGGGTTGAATTATTTGTACACTGGCTTCAGCCCATGAGCCCTACCCACCAGTAAGATCCTGCTCAAAGGAACGGCTCTTTGGTCACGGAATTGTTGGAGTTGGAAGGGACCTTCTAGAGACCATCTAGTCCAACTCCCTGCCAAAGCCGGATTGCCCAGAGCACATCACTCAGGATGGCATCCAGGCAGGTCCTGAAGATCTCCAGAGAAGGAGACTCCACACCCTCCCTGGGCAGCCTCTTCCAGGGCTCTGGAACCCTCACTGTAAGGAAGTTCTTCCTCATATTTGGATGGAACTTCCCGTGTTCCAGCTTGTGCCCCTCGTCCTGTCACTGGGAACCACTGAAAAGAGTCTGGCTCCATCATCCTTCAAGCCACCCTTTAGGTCCTTGTAAATGTAGATAAGGTCTCCCCTCAGCCTTCTCTTCTCCAGGCTAAAGAGCCCCAGCTCTCTCAGCCTTTCCTCATAAGGGAGATGTTCCAATCCCTCCATCATCTTAGTTGCCCTACACTGGACTCTCTCCAGTAGTTCCCTGTCTCTCTTGAACTGGGGAGCCCAGAACTGGACACAGTATTCCAGTTGTGGCCTCCCCAGTGCAGAGCAGAGGGGGGAATGACCTCCCTCGACCCGCTGGCCACGCTCTTCCCTGTGTGGCCCAGGGTTCCATTGGCCCTCTTGGCCACAGGGGCACACTGCTGGCTCATGGCTGGTGGGTGCCCAGAGGAGCTCCTGTGTGCGGGGAACGGCCACCCAGCCCTCCCGCCGCCCCCGGGAAGAGGGGAGGACGGGGATGCCGGAGATTCAGGCCTAGGTCCTGAGGGAGAATCTCAGGCGGGGCAGGCCCTGCTCTCTCCCTCTCCCCCCCC